CCATCAATGGTTCATGGACCCCTTGTGGATCGGCGGAGATGACTGAAGACCTCGTGCATGTTGAGGGGAAGGGAAAGTCATAGGTCAATTACGTTAATGATCTAATAAATGGATAAGACTAAGGGATAGTGTGAAGAAGACTTCTCTCATTGACATACACCCGAGAAAACTCGCCCGAAAATTGTAACGTTTCTTTCTAGATCTGAAAAAAAGACAACTTTTATTGCCGGACTCGACAGGTGAGGCAGGGCTTTGCGGACCCCTAGAATGCTTTCGCAGACCTTCATTTGAGAACCAATGATCTAGTGCACGGGATAAATAATGAATGCCACAAACCTTGTAATCGCAAGTTTAATCACGAGCGTGACACAGTCAAATGAATTGTTGGGATGCTGGAGCAAACGATGCAGCACCGTGCTTTATTTTCTTCACAAGTAAAAACCCCTTCGCTTCAAATCCAAGCGTCGGTGCAAAACATGCTCGGCGCGCTTCACGGAGATCGGCGACCGTACGATCCAGTAGGAAAATCGGGCTGACCACGCTGTGGAAGGACCGTCGTCATTGTTTTTACGCCTGAACCTGAACAAACCCGATACGTTGAAACTGAACAAAATGGGAAAGGAACGGCTGTAAACAGAGGGAGCAACTGAAACTGGGGAGGAGGTCATGGAGAGCGTGTGCAATTTAATGGTGCACACATCACATGCATGCTTGAGTTGGTGTGTGGCAAAGAGGATAACGGGAGGACGCTTTCGCCTCTTCCTCGCATTTCGCATTGCAAACAAGTTCCATAAACCACGGCAGTGTTGGCGGTGGCGCCACCCGTAGGCCAGATAGTCTACTGGTTTCCCTAATGTTTCGCAGGCTGGAGAAGGTGCAGAAATATGAGTGGTGCCAGCTCGGGAGTGTGAAGAGTACCGACGCTCTTCTGCTTTGCAAATTTCCGTGCGCTTGACTCCGCACAAGCGTAACCGATGCCGTATTTGCAAGGTGTCCTCAAACCAAGGCTGCAGTTCCTATTTCGTGCTTGTCTTCTCTATCGGGAAATGCAGTCAGCCAGCTTTCTGGCCTCCATTGGAAGCGACATGACTGAGTGGGTGAAAAGTCGGATCTGGAAGCATTTTGTAATGAACTCGCACCAAGAAGTGACGTGCAAGAGATGCGATACGAAACTTCAAACCCCGTCGAGCACGACGACGCCATTGGCAAACCACCTGAAGAACAAACATTGATTGTGGTACAGGTTGTTTTTAACAGAAAGTGGAAAGCAAGCAAGGACAGCACGTGACTTGCTGCCGTTCATCAAAGTGCATTGAAGCCCGGAAAGGAGTCGACGCAGCGTCGGAGAACGGAAATAATCACCGGGATTGCCCGGATGCTGGCTTTTTACCTTCAATTGTACAACAGTGTTGAAAGCTGAGGATTCAGAGAGCTAATGCATCACATGGACCCACTCTACAAGATTCCTAGCCTCACTACATTTTCCAAAACAATCGTCCTCGAGTTGTGCTTGGACACCGCTAAGGCTGTGAAGGAGCAAATGTGCGCAGACATCGAAGAAGGCGCACAATCAATCTTGTTTACAAGCGACATGTGGACCTCGAGAGCCAAGGAGTGCTACACCAGCTTCACCTGCCACTGCCTGACTTTTGGCTTCGAGGTGAGAGCTTATGCTCTTGCAAACCAGCTTGTGACTGAAAGCCACACTGCCTCCAATATCCTGAAGCATCTGCAGACTTTGATGGACGACTGGGAGCTGCCACTGCTGAGGGTACCCATCTATGTTGCGACGGACATTGCGGAAAACTTTTGTGGAGTTCTAACAAGCTTTCCTTGTATCCCAATGCACTGCATGGGTCATACATTGCTACTGGCCATAAAGGGTGCCAAGGAAGAGACTGCAGGAGTACCTACCATTCTAAACAAATGCCGCGCAATTGTCGGCTACTACAAACACAGTGCCGAAGCTACAGCAAGACTGCAGGACTTGCAGCGTGAAGCTCCCCCGTCAAAACTCGTCCAGGACGTGGAAACCAGATATAACAGTGAATGTCACACACTCTCCCGTCTTTCGCAGCTTCAAGAAGCCGTCTGTCTCGAGCTTGCCACTTCTGAAATGATGGTGCCCAACCCGACACCACAGGAGTGGAAAACGGGGGCTGGGCTTGTCAAAGCCCTTGAGCCAATCGCATCGGCGACCAAAGATCTGAGTGTCCAAAATATTCGGCATCATCATTGGTGATCTCATTCCTTTATGGAACACAGGTGGTCCTGAAAACCTGCATTGCAGCAGATGACGACACCTCGAAGTTTGCTAAAAAGCCCGATGAAAAGCATGCCCAACGAGCAAAAAATTCCGAGGACACCTAAGCAATTCTTACGAGTTGTGAATGCGAAAACATTAATGTTCCTTTTCCGCTCCCCTAATTTGTCTGTGTTGGACTGGCGTGGACGGCCATATTTCGCTACTGCCGTGGTTGTGGCCGCCGACGATATAGATGCTTCAAGTGCTGCCATGTTTCTCGGCACCGAGAGGAACAGAAGCGGCTGCAGCACCGGCAGGGAGTGTGGCGGTAACTCGAAGTTTAAGAGCATGTTTTGCGCTGAAGCCTTCCAAGAAATGAGACTCTTGGAGCTTGCGAGAACTGAGCTGCAAGGCTCTCCACCAAAAGTGTCGAGTGACTGTACCAATGCTTCAATATCTGGTCCATAAGGAATGCGCTGGCAGTATCTGGGACAACACTGAAAGGCTGGCAACAGCATCTGCAAGGATCCACCAAAAGTGTCGAGTGACTGTGCCAATGCTTCAATATCTGGTCCATAAGGAACGCGCTGGCAGTATCTGGGACAACACCGAAAGGCTGGCAACAGCATCTGCAAGAAAGCACTCCTGTGCAAGGGGTAACATGGAGGAATATCAGTGGCACCTTCGAGAGCCTACCTGCAGTGAAGACCAAGATCCTCTAACATTCTGGAAAGAAATGAGCAAATGCAACTTCCCTGGGCTGTGCAAGCTGGCCGTTTATTTATTTATTTATTTATCGTGGAGTTGAACATGTTCACCAATAGCTAAATGCCTTACCGGTGGTACACCATAATACATTAAAAATGAAACAAGCAATGCAAACACTGCAATAATGAAAGTACAAAGACAACATTGAAATGCAGATGTGCTATGTCATTTTTGCTACCACTATGTTTTTAAAGTCTAAAACTCGTAAAGACATCTTTTGCAGGTGATGTAAGATTGTTGTACAAGTCCACCATTCTTGTGAGAGGTAGGGGTTTGAATGTCTAGGAACACAAAAAAGCTAATTATATCTCAGGAAGCAAAATGGTGCACGAATGCTTATGTCTGTTAGCAAGCCGGGGCAAGCTATTCCGCTGTTCAGTAGTTTGTGCAAAACTAACATATTCCTAATAGCTTTTCTCTGCAAGTGGGATCTGTTGCAGTTTACAAAGCGGCCAGCTATAATCAGTAATATTTCTTGCCGAAGTATCGGTAAGAAATATTACTGATTACAGGCAACAAGTGAACCGAATGAGAAGCTGTTTTCCATAGCTGGTAACATTGTGACGTTGCGGCGGGAGAAGTTGACACCAGATCACGTGTAGCAGCTGCTTCGCTTGCACCAAAATATGTAAATACTTGAGCTCATGTTGAATGAAATCACTACTTAAAGTTCGACTTGATATTCAACTTTTTTTCTTGATTCGATTCAGTATTTGATTTGCGAACGACTATTTGGTATTGGCACACCCCTAGTTTTAAATAATTCTGATCTCGAGGACCTTTCAGTCTCAAAAAATACCTGCCTCCCCAAATCAATAGCCACGGAACCCTTCATGTTCTTGGAATTGACTTACTGTAAAATACCGGACAAGCGCCCTCTCAAAATTTAGAGATAATCGCGAAAAAATGGGGGGTGGGCGCTTGTCCAGTCATCAGTTTTACATATCAATCTACTGTGCATATTTTCTCAGGTCATAGAAATTCGGGAATGGGTGCTTAATGTGGAATGGGCAGATGCATGGTATTCTATGGTGGTAAAGCAGTTCAGAAGCCTAGAGATCTTGTGAACAGGAAAGTGCATATTAAGAAGTGCTTGGGACACAGCTATGCATCAAGGAATGGCTCAGATCTTCTCATATGGTCTTCAAACCTGGAAAATGATTTACTTGGGGACAGGAATATCTGAGTAAATTGGTACCTCTGAGAAACCCCTAAGGGTGCTGTAGGGAACCAAGTTTGAAAATCCATAACCTAAAAAAAGTAACTTTTTTTTTTGTTGTGTTTGTTTAGGTAAAGTTGCTGGCTTTGACCATCTTTCTGTCATTTTTTGTCTGATTCGAGCGGAATCTTTACACATGCTATTAATTTGGGTGCTAAGTTCAAATGTTTGCTTGTTATTTTTCAATCTATTATTGCTTTCAACAATATCTACTTTCTCACAAACAGTTCTGCTCAACTATTATACAATACCCCCTAGAAACAGCACCACAAAGTATGTCTGCATGTTCTCCAGACAGTAGATAGTGTAACCAAACTATTCTTGGATCTTAGGCTTATTCTAAAAATAGTAGTTATATGTTCAAATACTTTCAAGCACAATTTGAATAAGTCATTGAAGTTATTGCCAATTAGAAGATCTTACAGTTAATGTTTTTTAGAAATCTAACTGGTGTTTCATTTTACGATTAATGAGAAGTTCTTATATCCAAAGACACCAAAGGGAAAAACTGTGTTGTGACGAAAAACGTGATTTTGACAAACCAGGAAATGCTTGTCAAGACTTGCATGGTGACAGCCTGAACATGCAACTTTGAATCAATGCAACTAATTAAATATGCAATTTCTGAAAATAACATTAGTTCAGTCGTCTTTTTACGTAAAATGCCCATATTCAGCATAATATAGATTAAATTTGTTGTTTGAAAGAAGACATGTTTGACCACAGCATAGTTATGTACACCTCAAGTTCTTACCTTGTTTTTACCAGAATAACAGTTTCCAAGAGCCATCAAAGCCTACAGGTATCCAGGGGCTTGTTTTATGGTAAGTAGTTGTTTTCTTCCAATTGTAGCTGTTGAATAGTACTTTATTTTTTTTTACAGCGGAGCTGTTAAGGGCTAGTTTCTTGAGGATTCTGTCCCCTGCAAAGAAATGTTGACAAAAACTCTGGACAGCTATTGCCATCTATGAGCGACGGTGGCAACCAGACAGCTGGCTTGCCGGCCTCGTTCATAGAAGGCGGCAACCTTTCCAGCCTTTCCACTCTGGTTTTCACCAGAGTGGAAAGGCTGAATTTCTCTAGGCTTCGTCCTAGCTGTCGTTCTCGAGGTCGTCCTAGAAGTCTTCCTTGAGGTCGTCTTTGAGGTTGTCCGGGAGGTTGTCCTTGAGGTCGTCCTAGAAAGGTTGTCCTAGAAGTCGTCCTTGAGGTCGTTGTACGCATAGTCCTTGAGCTTGTCCTTGTGGTTGTCCTAGACTTCGTACCTGAGGTCGTCCTAGGCGTCACCCTTGCGGTCGTCCAGGACGCCGTCCCTGAGGTTGCCCTCGAGGTCGTCCTAGAAGTCGGCCTTAAGGTCGTCCTAGACGTCGTCCTTGAGGTGTCCAAAGAGTCGTGCTTGAGGTTGTCCCATCATTGTACAGCTTCGCTGGTCTTCCTTCTTGACCAGAGTGGAAAGGCTGGAAGTTTTTTTAATTTCTTGTATTCATATTTTTTAAACAAATTGCAACTTATCTGACAAATAGAGGCCCCAACACTCTAGCATTTTTACTGCAACACAGCTTTTATTGTCTAGAGAAAAATATACTTTTAAGTTACATGTACAAAATGAACTACCTTTTATTTTCGAGATGCGTGTGTGTGATTTCTTCTGGGAGAAGTACCTTTTTTTGTTTACTGTTCTGATGCAAGAGAGCAACACTTGTGATACCACTGTCGCTGCAAGGGTTGCTTTGCTGCAGTGCACCTGTGACGGAGGGTGGTGGAGTGCACTTGAGATTTGAAGCAGTCTGCCTAAAACAAACCCCAGAAACATTTGAAACTGTCATAAACCTTTAAAATCTTCTGCTTGACTCCAGTGTCAGACTGAATATGGCTATATTTGAATTGATATAAAGGCTTTCAATATTGGCACATTTATTTAGCTGCATTTAGCTTCACGAAAATCTCTGAATTTTATTTTATTTATTTACACATACTGCCAACCCCCTTTTGCAGGTTGTGGCAGGAGGGGTTGAAAGATTTATTTTCACAAGTTATACAAAAAACAACAGAAAGACGCATTCTCAGTAGAGATATATGCAGAAATGCAAGAATAATCCATTTCAAAACAAATTTCGGAAGGATTGAAAAAAAAAAAAAAAAGGTCAGAAGACACCTAAGCACTTCTTATGAGTCGTGAATGCGAAAGCATGAATGTCCGATGCTGTGGATGCTAGAGGCGGCGCCATGTTCGTTGTCTGCGAGACGAGCAGAAGCCTCCGAGCGTGCGTCAATGTGTCTGTTTCAACCGGCGCGGGGCCCGTAGTGCCATGGGGTTGCGGCGGTTAGTTTTATCGGTGCGCTGGCGCCACGGACACGCAGCGCCGTCTGGTGGCGATCATTGAAACTGATGCATGCAGAGGCCAATGGGACCCTCTTCGCCGCGTGCCAGCCATTGGGACCGTTTGGGATCAGGGAAACATGGTGCCGTTTCCGCGCTTCAAACTGATGACGTCGGCTTACTCCGTCGGACAGTTAATGCTTTCGCATTAATAAATCGGCTGATGTCAAATTGACATGTGAAGTCTCTTTCATTCCTCGATGGTATGTGGTAAAAACAAAAATTTAAAAGGGTTGCTTTGACACAGAAAGGGAACAAGAGCCCTATTGTTGAGATTTCTCGTGGCACGAACAAGTCGAGCTGTTAAATGCCTTTTAGTGTCGTATGTCAAAATCACAGTTTTAACATGCAATATAAAAATTTTAGTCTCGTTGCTGTCTAGTCTATACAAAATAAATTTGAGCGATTCCGTAAAATAGGGCAACGAATTCGTGTCTTTTGTATTGGTTGTATATAAAGCGCAGTGTAAATCTTTGCACTTTCCTTAATTTGTCAACCTCAGTAGCTGTGTGCAGATCTCAAACTTGGGAAGCATATTTTAGGATAGCTTTTACCAGAGTTTGTATGCAGTGAGCTTTATATCGGAAAAAAATTGTGCTTCAAATTACGCTTCAAGTACCAAAGTTTGACGTAAGCTTTGCAAACAACATGGTCAACATATACATTCCATTTTAACAGCTGAAGGAAAAAAAAACACTCGTAGGTATCTGTACATGACGACACTTTGCAGGGAATTATTTTTACCATAGTAAGAGAAATTAAGTGGCGAATCTTTTCTAGAAGAGGTCATCTTTACACATTTTTTTAATATTGAGTGTCAACTGCCAGATCAAGCTCCACGCTGACTGCCGTGTGGTTAAGTAACCGCTGATCATTCAGTTTTCACTTCTTGAAACAAAATACAGCCATTAGCAGAAAATCTCGTCAACACCAACAAAATGTCATTAATAAAGATAAGAAATAAAAGTGGTCTCAAGACAGAGTCCTGGACGACTCCTGACAACACCACAAGCTGGCTCAGAAGAGGCCCCACCCAGAAAAACACAAAAAGATTGACAAGCCGTTAAATAATCTTGAAGCCAGGAAGTAATCTTTGAATTCTTTAGAACAGGGGTTCTTAAACTGGGTTCCGGGGAACACAGGGGTTCCACGAGCTGGTCTCATGGGTTCCGCGAACACCCAAATCGCAACCCCCCCCCCCCCCCCCTCCTCCCTCCCGCACCGCAGGCTGCGTGGCAGGACCGTGCCAGCGCCTTCATTTCACTTTGTACTGACATCGCGATTGATATGGTGGGGATATATTGGAAGCAACACAAGCAAAATTGCCTACAATAGTGCATCTGTTGCTTCTTGTTCGGCAAATATAAAGGGGGGGGGGGGGGGGGGGGTTCCGCGGCAGTTTTTGAGGCTTCCTGGGGTTCCGTGAGACCACAAAGTTTGAGAACCCCTGCTTTAGAATATGGGCAAGTTTTAATGGTACTTTAGGGTGAGAAACCCGGTCGAACACTTTCGAGTAATCAATGAATATAATATCAACTTGTCCTTGTTGGTCTAAAACTTTAGCAATAATATGTGTCATTTCAACCAGCCGCATAGTTGTTAAAAGGTCGTGACAAAAACCATGTTGGCCATGGCAGAAGAAATTTTCGGTTTCAAGAAGAATAGATATATGCTTGAACGCAATGTGTTCGAGTCTTAGCGCATGACAGTAGCAACAATATAAGCCTATAGTTGTTCAGTGATAATGCATCCCTTAATTTGTAAACAAGGATGACCTTCGCAGCTTTCCACCGATTGGCAACAGCTGCATCTGACAAAGATTGTGCAAATAAAACAAGAAACCTCGAACACAATTCGGCGTATCATTTTTAAAATGCTTTAGGAATGTTATCAGTGCCCCAGGACTTCTTATTATCGAGGTTAAGCAAACAACATAAAATGTTTTGTTGGATACTTTAATATCAGGAATGCAGTAATCAGTGAACGGCGGAGCGGCCAGACAAGCACCACTATCTTCGGTGAAAAAGGAGCCAAAAAAGTGAACAAAACACAATGCCATTGTGACAAAACACTTACCTAACTGCATTGGGTGGGCAAAGTGTTGGCAACTGCTGTTAAGGCCTGAAAACATAACAGTTTTTTGTGACCTAATGCTGGCTTTAGGAACCCTTTTTTCTGCCAAGGGCAACAAGGAATAAAGGTAAAAATTTAGGGTTGGTTTGCATGAAGGGACCTTTTTCTCATAAGGCCTGGAGATCTTTTAAGAAGATTATTCAACAAAATTAATTTCATTGCATCCACAGAAATACAATGTCCGGGATAATATTGCTCTGACCCTTCCTCAATCTCTTCCAACACAGGAAGTCAGGCCAGCAACTCTACCAGCAGGCAAAGCTCCGGACAGAAGCCGACACGACGAGGTGAATGGTCGACAGATTAAGCTGCCAACATGTTTGCTCTTCAGCCCTGGCATCCTGATCTGCATGAAGCTCGAAGCCAAGAACTGTGCGAGTGTAATGTTTGGTTGTGCATCTGGTGTTGTGGGAGCATCCTAGTACCATACACGCTTCAGTACCTGTCACTGAGCGTGTCCAGTGGCTGAGGCTCGGCTGTTCTTGGTGGTTGTTGTGCTAGCAGATACTGTTACTGCGGATTCGTAGAGCATTTGCAAGAATCTGTGCTGCCCCAATTTCGCTTTCTTTTTTCATCTTAGGAGTTCGGAGAGCAGTTTCGAGCTGTTCCTCACACTTATGGCAAGGAGCTTGCTCAAATACTCGTCCTCTGGAGCTACAAACCTGTGGAGACAACTGCGTGGAAGGTGAGCGCAGTTGGACCAAACAAGATAGAGCTTAAGATTGGTTTGTCTCTAAGAATGGCCTATATCGGAGTGTATTTTCTTGTAGTAAACCTAGTGCACATTACGTTGATAGTGTCTTTAGGTGTTTAAGTTCAATTTAGAATACCTTAAAGAGCATTGCAATGAAATGAGAAGCACCACATGGCACAGGCTGGCATATTGTATTTTTAGAACTGATGAACGAAGCTACTTTTGAGCTGTTTTCACTTTTCCCTGCCGAATATGATTTTGATTGCTCTAGCACACAGTAGGTGCCATCAAATGTTTTTCTCTTTTTTAAGAGCAAAGAATTATGATATGAAATACAAGCAGGTATCCTTGAAACACTTAAGTTTTTCACCACAATAACTACTATGTTTGTCTCATAACATGGCCACATACTTGCATACTTTCCACACTTGTGTGCTAAGGTGCACACCTCTTGTTGAATTTCAAATGTTGAACCAATGTTTATAGTGAAATATATTTTATTGTGGGCTCTACTTTTCACTGGAGACCAACCAAGTAAAGGGGGGGCATAACCTCTATGCTGGTGCTCTTTAAGCCACAAGTTGACTCATTGGTGCAACAAAAGTAATTGCCATGTTGGTCTGTAGGATACCAACCCACTCTGGATTGTCACTTTGAATGTCTGACTTTATTTTTCTGTTTCAGAATCTACAGCAAGTTCCACACCAAGAAGATGCAGGAGCTGACGGAGATGGGCCTGCAGAACTGCTCGCTGCTCTTCCTGGTGCTTGCCTTGTCCGTCGAATTGGAAGAAGTGGTCAGTCCCTGCACATCTCAACCTTCCATCCAGGGCAGCATTTTACAGCCTTATGAGTCATTTCCAAGTAGTGAACTATTGAAAGAGCTCACAAAATGTGGCTCTGCTCAATTTTGGCTTTGAGATGTGTGCCTCCTTTAATTCATCTTTTAAAGTTTTAAAAATTAGGATATTTACAGTATTGAAATTTAATTTGTAAAGTGCATGGTGCTTAATCTCTTTATAAATCTGGTATTAGATTTGATATAGCTTGTTTTCTTAGGTTCTCAATGCAATGTAGATGCAAAAAAAAACATGTTCTTCTGCACACATGAGGCAAGGCAACACACTTTAAAAAAAAGGAAGGCGAAAGCATTATAGTCCCGCGGAAGAAATGTTTTCGTGTAATGTTTCTACACGTATTAAAGTTTAGGATGGCGTACAGGGAGACGTCGAGTGTGCCCTGCGTCAGGATGACCCGGCCTAAGAGCCGCAAACAAAACCACGAAAGTTCCGAGAGGCGCGGGGGGAAGGGGGGAAGGGGGGGGGGGGGGCGGGCGGGGCGGGCGGGCGGGCGGGCGGGCGGGCGGGCGGGCGGGCGGGGCGGGGGGGGGGGGCAAACTTTTACCCAAAGCAATAAATCAAACTCGATCTACTTTCAACCTATCCGAGTCAAAAGCAGTCAAACTGTACGTAATGTAGCAGTAGCACAAGACAACGAAACCGCAACCTGTCTTTCGATTTAAAACACGTTCGATTTCTCTTTGGGGAAGTGCTGGGAGGGAGGGTACGGGGGGGGGGGATAAGGGAGGGACCCACGAGCCGCACTTTAACACGCGGCAGCTTGGCCACCCCTGTCCTAGAGGTTGACGCCAAGTACGGCCCACACTCATAAATGTTGACGAGCTCAACGAGCTATGCTCGATCAGCACTCTGCAGTCGCCGGCAGCCATGTTTGTTGCGGTTTCAAACCAATGTGGGAGAAGCAATCTCAGAATACATTTGAAACAATAATTACTCTATTTTGATTGGGTGCCTCTTAAACATGAAAAAATAGTTGATTAAAATACTATTATGGCACGGAGATACAAATTTACAACCAACCTTTCACATCTCAATCTTATCTCCAGCCAATGAGAGGTGTAAACACCTTGTAAGCCCAGTGCGGGGCTTAGCGGGCTGAGACCTCCAGATTCAGCACCTAATTTGCGGTTAGCGACATAAATACTATTGAAAAACAAAAATAATATTTTTCGTCGTAAAATTTGTTTTTAATATATGTGGTCGTTAGAAAAAAGATTATTTTTTCATTGCATTGTCCCTTTAGCTGTGTGAATTTGCCACAGGGTCTTATATGTCTCGTTCGGTTCAGTGACGAGAACGTTGAAACTTTTTCCTGCTTGTGCATGTACATATTGGGGTCACATATGCAGGCTTTTCATATTTGCACGCTGACCGTGCAAATATGTGAGTGCGACTTATACAAAGGTGCAACTTATTACCACCTTTTTTGGGAAAATGCTTGTTTATAGGGGGGTGTGACTTATAGATCAGAAAGTAGTATAGCTACTCTCAGCTCCAGTAAATGTGACCATAACTTAATTGTTCTGTACAAGAATCTTTTTTACACCTCTGTTTACCACTCTGAGCTTCCCCAATGCATTTCATATTTCTAATTCATGCCTTCAATAAAGCCTGAGCGCAGTGTTGGGTAAAGTACACCTAAAGGTACTTGAAGTAAAGTACAAAGTAAATGAGTGGTTATGTACTTCCAGTAAAGTATTAAGTACACAGGGCACACTGTACTTGAAGTAAAGTACTATAAATGCCATGTATTTTCAAAGTCAAGTACAAGTACTTTCTAACGTAATCTTTCATGATGTCTTTTCAATCCAATATACAGTGTTTTTTTTTAATTTTTTTTTTTAAATTGAGATGTAGAGCCTTGCACGGATAACTGTTTGATCATCCGCATCCGATTCGAATCCGCATCCGCAAAGTCGTTATATAATTGTATCCGCATCCGATCTGCATTTGCAGACTTCGTAGCCGCATGTGAACCGCATCCGCAAAATTCTGAACAAAATTCTGAACAAAATGAATGTGCGAATTGAGGGTCGAATGACCCTCAATTCTTTTTTCTCGCGTAATCCTCGTACCCCCAAAACTGCAACGGCGAAAGTCGCCTGCTCGCGAAACCCGCATGATGCACGCTCTCTCCACCGCCCACATTTTCCGGCGTGCCGCCGTTTGATGCTCCAAGTGCCCAAGGCACCCTAGGCAGCCTAGCGCCATCTCTCAGACGCTAGTCACACTGTCATTAAGCCGGTTTCGCGTGCGGGCAACTAGACGGCGTTCGCGCAGCCCGCGGTCGTCGAGAATTTGGGAGGTGACGACGAGGGGCTACGACCAGCGATGCTAGGACTGATTTGGACCGAGGTTGTTATCAGTGATGTAGGTCAGACTGTATTTGTAAATAAATCTTGGTTTGTGTATAACTTGCGGTTTTATTGTTAAGGTAAGTCCTGTACTGGTAGTTCTCAAACCTTGTAGATAGCTGCCAAAGCGAAAACCCCAATTTGCAGCCGCCTCGTTTTTTTTTTTTTTTTTTTTTTTTTTGAGTTTCACGTTTTTGCGGAAAATTTTCCCCGCGTAACTCTCGTACCCCCCAACTTTTCATAGATTTTCCGCAAAAAAAGTGTGAGGATTGTGCGAGTAAATATGGTATTTATAAAATAAGCGATCATCCTTCCAGAGGCACTTTACATCGCTTGAAAGGTTATCGCAGTTATGAGATTGTCTTTTTGAGAGTCCGTGACACTGACACTATGTCCAAAAGATGCGCTCAAAAGCAAGGAGATTGTGATATTGATTTTCCTTTTTGCTGTGTAAAACCCACTTCAAGCAGATGCATATTTTATAAACATGAAAATTAACAGACAGACTATTGTGATTAAGGACAGACTATTGTGTCATTTTATTTAGGCCAAACAATAAAAAAGAGGGAGAGGGAAGGCACTGTTCTTTCCCTGGCAAAGAAGAACACGCTTCCCGGGACGACTGATTCTCCTGCATTCTTTACTTTTTCTAGGGACAGCATTTTTGGCGAGATAGAACGTTCTAAAGCGATCTTTGGTGAAAATCAAATCTTTCTTCCCAATTGGCACCTTTTATCTAAATGAGTAGTTTTCTCCGACAATACGTTTGATGGTGCATTTCATAATATCACTCACTAATTCACTCTACACTATGCGGTCGCACACGTTTATGGGCCGCCTCGACAAAAATGTAGATCCGGACACACGGATATCCGATCTGCATCCGCAGCCCCTGGATTCTGCATCCGATCTGCAATCCGCCAAATCTGATTCATTTTTATCCGCATTCGCCAGCTTATTGCGGATATCTGCGGATATACAAAGCTGTACTGATATGCATTGCCCCAGTGGTAATGGGGGTGCATCAGCTATTTTAGGAAATGGCAGTGAATTTTGGATGAAGTCAAGTGGCCGCATAGTAGTTGTTTTACACTCGCTTACGAACTATCCAACACAATCATCTTAAAAGGGAATTATTTGTATCGGTCTTATAGCCGCCATTACTTCACTCAAAAAAATTACCAGATGTGTCTTGAAAGACGATTTTGCATTTTCACATGACTACGTGTACACCATTTTTTTGTTTGAGGTTGGTGAACTCTTATGCTCGACCTCAGAAGTTGTGTGCGGTGCTGGGAAAGCCAAGGACATGAACGCGTGGTTCTTGAAAAAGCTAAATTTCATCGAGACCGAATTGGAGGAATGTACTTTGAAGTCGAGAGTTGTACTTTCTTCGGAAAGTACCAGAAAAAAAATACTTTAAGTAAAGTACAAATAGATACTCAGAGAATGTACTTCAAGCAAAGTACAGGTTTGCTAAACCTACTTGAAGTAGTACTTTAAGTACAATATACTTAAAGTACTTTCCAACACTGCCTGAGCGCTACAAAAATGAGCTACGATTCCTTCTTGTTTGTGTGTGTACGCGCAGGTAAAGAAAGAGTTGACCCTGTTTGAGATGCTGGCCGCCGGCACCTCCCCCGCAAAGCTGTCTGTCATCATGAGGGGCATGTTTGCATCTCTGCTGGCGCTTCAGGCGAACGGGGTCGACCTGGCATCGAGCGCCCGACAGGTGGCGCACTGGTTCTTTGCACACTGCCTGTGAGTACAGCTGACGTGCCACCTCTGTCTCTGCGTGCAGAGGAGTAGGCCATACTTCTAACTTGCAACTTGCTTTGTCGGCTTGGATTTTTACGCGTTGCCCTGGACTCTCGTAGTTATGCATTTACGGGGTAGTTTACAATTGGAAGCATGCAACACCAGTAGGGTCTGCGCCGCACTCCGCCTTGGCTGTGCCACCAACGACGGCACCTACATTATGTCACATAGTGAAGCGCTGACAGGCTCCGACCTTTTCTAATGCACACGCATCGTCTTGGTGACGTCTGCGCCTTCCTGCGGCCGCGTTGCTCGATTTCGCTCCAGACTAAAGGTTTGGCATTTTGGTATTTGAAAACATATTCATGTCCAGCATTGTCTGTGTGTGTGTTCTTGCGTCATTTCACCTGCATGAGTTGTTTGAAGCTTGGGTTCAATTGCGTGCTCCTTTGTTGTAAGCGGAAATGACGGCAACACTTGCCCATGTTTTTCGCTCATCTGTGCCGTAATATGCCACTACAAAGCATTTGTGTGTTCGACGGTCTGGGAATCACTACTGGACAACATTCACCAGTGCCATTTGATCGAAAAAATGTACATTAAAAGTTTTTTTTGCTACCCTTTTCATCAGATTGCTCTTCGCTTGCTGGCCAATTGAGTAGACATACTGAGAATGAGATGAGCGCGGCTGTTTTTGCCTGCGCATTGAGGGGATCTGTTTCCTCAATTTCCAGGCCTTGCGTACAAAAAGTGAACATTGACTGTGGCCCTGAACGTTTTATATAGCACTGTGTTCAGATAAGCTGACATTAATTAGAAACTGAGGTTGACTGCTACGCACAGTGTCAATTCAAAATGCTTCTGCTATGAGCCGCATTGTGGTGCCACTGTATTGTCGCATGCTTCCAATAGGGTCAATACGCCTTCAGTAGCATTCTGATGCATAGAGCAAACCCCGATAAGGTCGACTGATCAGAAGGGTCTACGCAGGTTTGTCCTAAAACGGTTTTGCTGTACAGTTAAACCTCAACAAAATGAAGTTGTACAAAAAGGTAGAAGTCTTTGTTCTGGCATCAACTTGGTTGTGCCGTGGCTTGTGTAACTAAATAGTGAAATTACCTTCCAAGTACTCTGAACCTGGCGTTGCAAATAAGCTTGGTATTTGTAAGCCCAGTGTCTCTTAAACCTCTGAAATAGCGGGGCAGGGAAAAAAACAAAAAAACGTGGTAGCCAGTAGTTTTGGTACCCAAAAATCTCAGGAAAAAAAGGGCAGATTGTGATGCTTGATTGCATTTCTAATAAGAAAAATGGCCATGCATGATTGTGATTTTGTGTTTGCTGGAATGCTCAGGGGGGAGAGAGAGAGAAAGAGAAAATAAACTTTATTTCCACACGCCTGGTTCGGCGCTCGTATGCTCAGGGGAAAGGGGCGTGTCGCAATGCTTAGAGGTTTTTTTCAATAGAAAATAACTTCACGCATGATAGTAGTATTTGGGTTTCTAGGACGTTTATATTTGTGCATAGGTTGAGTTTGCACCATAAAAAGACTACCTATTTCAAAATTGACTTGAGTGCCCTTCTAAGGTCGGCAGATGACAGTGAGCTCAGAAGCTTGCTGCCCTGTGTCTTTGTCAGGGAGAAAGCTGGGAAGAGCTCCGACAGCAGTTTCCTCCAGCAGAAGGCAGCCCTGCTGCCCCTGTTCTTGGAGGGAGTGGCAGACGTCTTTGATGCAAGTCCAGACCTCGGGAAGTCGGAACATGCCCTCTTGGGTGAGGGTTTCTGACACCTCACCCTGATTTTAAAAAGCTGCCATGTGTGAGACCCACTTGCCCTGTCATGCCGTGGACTAGCAGTGTTGTGGCCAGACTTGGTTCTATACAAGCAGAGCTTTGCCACTTTGCTGCAAGGACACCATACCTGCCTCTCTATTCTGGAGGGTTTCCTAGACCAATATAAACCACTACGATTGGCTGTACACGTTTCCAATTGGAAAATAGAACAGTGCATTGAGAACATCAATTTAGCAAATAATCTATGTACAGTAAACTTCCGTTAATTCGACCTCGACGGGACCTCGAACTTTGGTCGAATGATCCGAATGATCGAATTAAAAAAAAGACAGAAAAATGCTTGACCGTAAACTTCCTTTTATTGTCCACAGTACTCACGGATGGTCTGCTGCCGTCTGCACTTAAAATGCATGTCTAAAAGCATGCTCCGGAGAACAGCATAACTAAACGTCATGACCCCAGAATATCGCGCACTACAAAAAAAACCGAAAGAAGTAAGTTTTACGAGCCGACTTTGACCCCGAACAGCCAGACCGTCAATGACAAAGAAAAAAAAAAAAAAAGACAGAAAAGGAAACAAGAACTTGCGCTGTCTGACACAACATGGACCGCACACGATGCTACAGAAAAGCGCTTTGAGAGCGCGCTCTGAGAAAGCTTTACGAGCCGACTTTGGCGCCGGGCTGCCAATCCGTTGGCAACAAAAATAACAAAAAAAAAAAAAAAAAAAAAGAGAATTTTTGCTTTCCGGTGCACAAGATGGACCGCACACGATGCTACAGAAAAGCGCTTTGAGAGCGCGCGCTGTCTCCGTGCTTGACCACATACTACATTCTCCGCGCTATCTCTATGCCATATTGGTTGCGCTGGCTCGTGTCATTCGCTACGGTCTATCTCAATGGCGTAGAGGAGCAAATGCATATTTGCGCACGTTCGGCTTTGCAGCAAAGGGTCCGTGTTTCACCGTACGTTGGTGGTTTTTCTGCCGTGGTGCTGTGGCAAAGTGAGCCCGCGCCCATTGGCTCGGGACAAATTATCCGATGCGGAGTCTTCCCGAGTTCGAACTATCAAACATTTTCCCCCCTTAGAGATGTATGGGCGCTCGCCGGGACTTTTGGACACGATCGAATTAAACTAAAAGTCGAATTAACCGAGGCCGAACTAATTAAAGTTAACTGTACCATGTTCTCTGGACCACTAATTCACTGGTGTTTGTTTGCCAACAAGCTCACTACCGACCACTATTGGCAGACCTTTGCTCACTTCCAGTTTCCTTCTTCCTTATTTTTGTTTCACATCCTTTTGTTTTCTGCTTTCATAAACATATTAGAATTATTGGTTTCCCAAAGAAAAATAATCTGGTGCGATCGCTGTGCATTGTGGAAGAACAAAGAAACACATTACCGGAAGTTTACTGGGGCAGGAAATACTGTGACGCCCTCATGTTATCAGCTGCCTCCGAACACTGTGAATAGTCTGCACCTGGCATCCAATCCGCAAAAATAAATTTCAGCTGAAAAGAAGAAGTTTTTTTGGGAGTAATTTGCACTTGGTACAGAGTCTACACCAAATACATGGTTCGCACCTGGTGCAGAGTCTGCATATACAACAATTTCCTTACACAGCTTCCTTTCAAAAATGCCTTCTCTATTACCACAAAAAAAGCTTATATATCTCGAATAAATAAGAAGTTCATGTATAGTCCGCATTGTGTGAACTTTCAGCCTCTAAACGTGTATAGTCCGTGGACTGCAGACCGGAAAATACAGTAGCAATTGCTAGCACATATCATACTACATTTGCGCTGGGTGGTTCGACCAGTTGAGTTTTTGTTCCCAGTGCTATTATTTTTTTAAGAGTTGAGATATGTACATGTGGGATTGAGTAGAGTGTATTCATTAGGGCAGGGCACTGCTGGAGATTCCAAGGGTACTTTATACTGTTTCATAGCTTTTGTTGGGGACAGAAGCATGCTTATTGATTGGTGGTGTGCGACCGTCAGTCACAACGTGCCACTATCTGTTGTTTGCGGGTGAAAGCGTAGCTAGTTTTGCTTCTTTCTGACCATATCAGGCAGCTCTAATAACCTGTCTCTCAGTACCTTCACAATGTACGCAGCACAATACTGTTAGTGCAAACAAGTGATCATCACTTTTTCCTGCTTTTCTTTTAAAATTGAGCAGCTGTAATGAAAACAATTACCGTAATATCCTGAGTCATCGCCCACCCCACTTTTTGGCCGAATATCGATTTCCAAAAAAACAGAGTGATCGCCCACCCCTAGAAGTACCCGAATGCGGACTCCGCGATCCGCAAACATTCATCCTACCCAAATGACGCAGCCACGGACCTTGTGTTTGGAGGACGTCCGTGACAAAGTAAGAAAAGGGAAGAAAAGACACTTCACTTTGTTTACGGATTTCCTCCCCTATTTCCGCGGCACCAAAGTCTGAGTACATGTGTGCAAAAGGAAAACAATGGAGATAAAATATAAATTTATTTTGCTTATAAAAATGTTGTTTGGAGTCTGGACAAAAAGAAATTGGAAAGGTACTAACTCAAGCAGTAACCCCACCAGGGGTCGCGAGGTCAGCGAACATACCATCCCCTAAAATGTAACCACGGAGTGTAAAGTCAAAGATCAAAGTTCGTCTCCACCAAAAATTAGGTTACTGTGAATACCCAGTCATTCTTCCAGAACATTGCAACCGTGGTTGGTAAGGTTGTGCAGTGTTTCAGACAAAGCCAACGGGTAAATAAAGATTTGCTGGAACGGCATACACAGATGTTTGTACAGCATCCTATTTAAAGCTCTGTGTTAGTGGTGCTGTCCACGCCGCAATGCTGCCTCAGCCCGCGTTGATAGCATGCCACGCATGGACACACACACATGCACCAAACAAGAAAGTTGCACAAGAGCCTGCCCCTTATAATTGACAAGGCGCCCAACTTGGCCCGACTCCAAAGTATTTGCCAATGTTATCGCTGGCTTTCCCGCTTTCCCAGTATAGCTCTTTGTCACTTCCTTTGCTCGCTTGCTTGTTGCACCTGGTTGGTTTTTCTATTTTCTTGTTAACTTTTTTTTTTTTTAGCAATAGAACATATATGTTGTAGAAACATGCTTTCACAGAACAAACATTCGTGCCATATGTCAATCGGCAGTTTTAATCGTGCATACGCAAGCAGCGAACTTTGCGATAATAAGATGCTTTTCATGAGCATTTCTTGTATAAAACAATAAAACTTATTCAAGTTTTGAGTTTAATGTATCTTCTATGCAGCCCTACTAGAAAAAGCTAAAAAAGCACCAATTTTCCTGTATGTATCATACAGGAAAATTGGCGTTTTCTTAGCTTTTCCTAGACGTTTTGTGCTTACCCACAGAAACATTTCCCACCCTATTTTTTTGTGTATTTCACGCAGCAAGGAGGTGGGTGACGACTCGGGATATTACGGTGGTGTGACAGAAAGTTCTCATTCAGAGCAGTTGAGTAGGGTTGTGCGAATGTTCGAAACTTTCGAATATCAAAGCGAATAATGCCATATTCAATTCGAAGTTCGAATCAAAAAAGGCTTTTCGACAACTTCTAACATTTTGAGGTATTTCAAAGTTAGGAATGCTGCAAAACATTAATTCAGACCACAACAAAAAAAAAAAAAAGCGAAACAAACATGCAGTATATACTTAAATTCACCAAACAAGGTTGGAACACAAGTAGCAGTAAAAATAGGAGCTACAAGTCTAATCTTTTGAATCTTGCGGATAGTATTTCTAATATCTATTGCCAAAGTGTGTGTGCAAATGAGTGTCTGTATTTTTTCCTTAGATAAAGTGTCTTTTGTGGCCACGCTTGCTCATAATTTGTGTTCTTGACCTTGATTCACTATTATGGACGATCCACATTATGGATGATTTTTTTGGGTAGCTATAGTGTCCATATTAATGAGACTTGACTGTATGGAAATGAGAGTAATTATGTAGGCAAGCTGGGGAACTGGCTACCCTTCCGACCTTGTCGTGTTTGTCCTTTTTTTTTTGTTCCCTGGTCTCCAGGGTTCCATTGGCGGCCAGAAACTATTCGCTTCGCTTTTAAATTACTTAATTGTATTAAAAATTATTCGTACAAAGTAACTATTCGCTTCATATTCACTTTATATTTTCTTCAAACTGGAAATTCCCTATTCGCACATCCCTAAAGTTGAGCCCTAAAGTTTGGTGCCTACCAATACTCCGAGTAAAATGCAGAAAAGCGCCGATGTTATGTTCGCACTAACAGTGTTGTGCATTGTACCCCATTAGGAAAGAAGACTACTTCTAAAAATCCCTGCACGCAACACTGCGCACACTGCATTATGGGGCATTTCTGACTGCAGAGAGGAGTGGCATGGTGTAGATTCCGACTGCCCCATTCATGAAGTAGTGCATCTCAGCTCTGCACTAAAATAAAGTCCTTAATCGCTTGCATTGCACCCGTTGATCTTCGTGAGAGCCCCCGTTAAAACACAAACCTCCAGCAACCATAAGGACCTGTCTAGACTTGGCGAGGAGTAGGAGTACAACTGGCCACGTCCCATACCTTTCTGGCAGCCTGGCTACCACTCCGGAGTGCAGCATGACCCCCCTGGCCCACGAATAATTTAAGAAGCCTATCGAGGAGAAGATGGAACAGGATGGCCGGCCCAGTATACTTCTTCCACATCAAAAGCCCCTCCCCCTCCACCAAAAAAAAAAAAAAAAAGTGTCCCAGCATTTTATTTGTATTGGTAGGCAACACCCGCCGTATCATATAAATTTAAGGAAAGTCGCACATTCAAAAATGCAAGCGCTGTATTTGGTTGTGACGGTATGTCGTGGAGTGAGGTTGGCAAGTCGAAACCGAATCTGTGGCCAGGGCTTTCCCCAAGATGATGCTTTGCATGACACTATGCTGCTAGGATTGCATCGATTTTGCGAGAGGTCTATTGGCCCAGGCTAACCTCTCATTCCTTCATCTGGAATCTGTTTATTTTTCGGTACTTAGAACTGACCTTTTATTCATCCAGTGTGGCCATGAGTAGATATTGCTTTGCCGTGTGTTTTCTGACTTTGAGAGCTTCAGAATGTGTAAACTTTCTTAGTCTGATTTCAGGTGAGGTTTCTTTAAAATAGAGAACTGCAAGACACCGGTAAACTGGCAAACTTAAGTTCCAGTTGCATTTCAATACGGCATTCCCTTCAATTTCTAATGTCCCCTTTTTCCTAATAAAAGCTTTGCTGCTTAAGGGGGCACATGGCCTGGGAGGGGCAACTTTTGAACCATTGTCTCAAATTGATTCGAACTTTAAGGGTGAATTGAAGCCCATTAGGATTGATGACACCTAAAGTTTCAGCCTTGTAGGCCAATTCTACAACATGCTATGCTTAACAAACCATAGAAAGAAGTGACTTTATTAGGAAATGTATTTAAGAAAAATAATAGTTGCAATCCACAAAATGCCTGGTTTAATGTGAAGTAGAGTGCCCATAGTGCAAGTTAAGATACAAATTAATTGTAGAAAATGCAATTAGAGAAAAACAATAACACCCAAAAAGAGCAAAAGATTTCAACAATTTTCTGTGTTTTAAAATATTCAGTTTTTGTCATGAAGAATTTAACTTTTTCAGTTTATGAGCACCTTAAAGGACCCATGAAACGAATTTTGGGCTGGAGTAAATCAATTTATATTGGGATTTTATTAATAGCACACCGTTCAGTGGGCCAAAAGAACAAAGGTAGAAAGTCAGAAGCCTGACTTTCGCTACAAAAATTTGCAAAACATAGCGGACTATTTCGTACCTCCTTCCCTTTGTAAACTCTCCGCCTTTTCACTGTGATACATCCGCGGACCCCGCAGCGCGTCACCGGGCTACTAGCCATCATAACCGGGCCCCCGCAGCGCGTCACCAGGGCCCAAGCGCACGTCACACGACACCGGACCTCACTTAATCCCTTTACCCCTAAGCTGACATTGCGGTGGAAGCTACGTGCTTGCCGGACCAATCAGCCGCCTCCCTTTCATCACCTGACCTCATTCTCTGCGGGTCGGTATGCGCGAGAGAGCGTGATCACGTGGAAAATGTGTGGCTGGCCCAACGAGCACGTAGCTTCCACAGCACTGTCAGCTTCGGGGTGAACGGGGTGGGGAAAGCAACTAGTCGGAATTTTGAGCGACGGGCTAATCTTCTAGGGGGACAATGGCTGTGTCTGGGCTACACAAGCGAGATTCCAAGCAAGAGGGGACTCCCCCCTTTCCGACCTTGAACTGTTTGGTACAATGCGCGATTTATGAGTTGAGGAGGAAAGCTGAACAGAAAAAAGTTGAAAAAGCGTTTCATGACTCCTTTAACTTGTTCCTCAGGAAATTTCAGTCCAGGACACTACTGAATTTAATCTTTACACTTTCAAAATATCAAATGATACATTTCCTCATACCGCATTTCCTGCCAAAAAGTGAAACTGAGAAAATGGCATTTGAAGTTTGATCTTTAGGTTTTACAGCGGAGCTGTTAAGGGCTAGGTTCCCCAGGATCGTGTCTGGTACCAAACAAATGTCGACGCAAAACTCTGGACAGCTACCGCCATCTATAAGCGACAGCGGCAACCAGACAACCGGCTTGCCAGTGTCGCTCATAGAGGGCGGCAACCTTTCCAGCCTTTCTACTCTGGTTTTTACCTGAGTGGAAAGGCTTAATTTCTCTAGGTGTCGTGCTTGAGGCCGTCCTAGAAGTCATCCTTGAGGTCGTCCTAGACGTCGTCCTTGAGGTCGTCCTTGAGGTCGTCCTTGAGATTGTTCAAAAAGTTGTCCTCGAGGTCGTCCTAGACGTCATCCTTGAGGTCGTCCTAGACGTCATCCTTGAGGTTGTCCTAGACGTCGTCCTAGGCGTTGTCCTCGAAGTCGTCCTAGAGGTCGTCCTAGATGTCGTCCTTGAGGTCGTCCTAGACGTCGTCCTGGAGGTCGTTCTTGAAGTCGTCCTAGGCGTCGTCCTTGAGGTCGTCCTAGATGTCGTCCTTGAGGTCATCCTAGACCTCATCCTTGAGGTCGTTTTGAGGTTGTCCTAGACGTCGTCCTTGAGGTCGTCCTAGACATCGTCATTGAGGTCGTCCCACCATAGTACAGCTTTGTTGGTCTTCCTTCTTCACCAGGGTGGAAAGGCTGAAAGTTTTTTTCTTTTCTGTGAGTCCGAGGTAGGCAAAATTCACCTGGAGCATTGTTAGCTCCTTCCTCTTTGAGACTTGGTTGTTTCCCCGGCAATAGCTACCACTTTGTGTCGTTTGTAGGCAAGCTAACTTTTGCAGCAGGCATTCCTCGACAGATAAAATCGCAAGAACTGAGAGGAAAATGATACTAAGGAAGAGCAACAAAGCAGGAATAGGATCTGAAGTGGAAGATAATGTGAAAGGGTGTTACTGAAGATGACACAATATCACGTTACCGGGCAGGGCCAATCATAAACCTGTTTCGGGTCTCAACCAATAAGATTGCTCATACCAAATTTTCTGGATTTTTTCTGTTTAGATGTATAGGGTTCTCCTAGCCATTGATACTTTTAAACTTGGTAGGCCTCTACAGGCTAAATCTAGAGTAAATGGCACTTCCAGTGAGGGTAAGATGTTCTGGCTATGTTAAACGAGCATGAAGCAGTGCCAAATAAACGCAAACAAATTGCTCCCTGCTGACTCAGAGGGCTGCCGAAATGACGGAAATATTTTATTGTGAGATAAATCCTGGATTTTTATAAGTGAAAGTTTCTGAAACCATTCTTTGGAAGTTAATATACATAAACATATCATTTTTGAAGAAAAAAAACTTTTTTCTGAAAAATTTGAATTCTGAGGCCATGTCCCCCCTTAACTTAGGAAGCCCTTACAAGTCCAGCTCTAATTTTCTTGTGTATGCAGACAGATGCACTCACAAACCCAAACAGGCATGTCATCCCAAGCACAGAACTGGCAACTCATTCATGTGTCAAGTGCCTTACTTTTGGACTCGTATATTGGACTCCCACAACATTGTGCTTTTTTTTTTTTGTTGTTGATAGTTTAATGGTTAATATTTTTTTCCGTATGTCTTAAGTTGTCATTTTGCTTTTCTCACCTCTTGATTCTAGCACCGGAATTCGGTCAACTCTTAGAGCAGAGCTCTCCGTCAGAACAGGCAGCCATTTTAAGGACACTTCAGGATGTGATAGAGAGGGTCAGGTAAGTTCTTCGTCTCGTTTTTCCAGAACCTAGTATATGCTTTGCATTTTTTCTTTATTCTGTTGTTTTGTGCACTTGAAGAAACTGTCTTTTAAGCTGTATGTGATGGTATGTCCTTATAGGATGCTGCACAGAAGGAGTCTCTCCCAGGGTGCTTTGCTGATGCTTCATGATGCAGAGCTTAAGGAACAGCGGATAAGTAAGTGAATGTTTCTGTCCTTAGTGGCTAGGTGTTTACAGCATAAATTGGGCAAACGTTTTGCTTATAATTGCCCCTGCTCTTTGCCTGTTCAGCATCTTGGTGATGTAGCTGTTAACTTTGAATTTGGGGAGATCGATGGCTGAGTGTGTTAATGCACTGGAGCACATGGAGCAAAAGCTTGTGCTGCAGAACCCAGCGATCCTGTGTTCAATCCCCAACTCTGCCCGTTTCTATCAGGATGAGTGTTGTACAGGTGTGCAGTCATGTATCCATACTGTATGCACAATGAAGATCCCAGGCAGTGGTAGTGCATTGGCAAAATTTCTCAACTACAGCCGAGACACCAGATGTCCATTAGGGCTGACTACGATAACTTCCGGCTATCTAAACATTTACATAACACTATTACAATTACTTCTGTGAATTTGGAAAGCTGAACTTGGCTACTCTTACCTGGTGATTGATGACTCTTTTGTTCTGGTTATAACTGCAAGCTTGCGGTTGGCCAAAATCACACTTGTAAGACAGTGTTTGTAAAATTGGCATGTCAGCCTGTCTGATGAGCAGCATACCTAACGAGGTTTGTGTAAGAGATCTTGCTATACTAGATTTATCTGTGCACCAAACATTGGACTGGTCTGTGGAAAACCCATAGTGTAAAATGCAGGCGGGCTGGTGTTGACCTAGTCGAGACATTTGTCAAGATTTGTCTGTATGCAAGTCCCGTTTCCCTCATGTCTGGTTCAGATATTACGTTGTTTGCATTCACGGCAGCTGCAGTCACATTGAGTTAATGGGACCACCGTGCCTCTATGTACTGCGTTACAACCAATCTGAGGCACTGCGCTAAGAAGCACTCACGAGTTGAAAAGATGCGCACTGATATCCTTCTACATCCTTGATCAGACGGTTGCAAGTGACGTGACCAATCCATCTAAGTACTACCTCAATTTTGTAGCCATGCTGTGTACAAGGCATGGTTGCGCTGGTTACTTGTCTTCGCTGCTGTTCCAATTGCTGTGAATGCAACTGGTGCAAATGTTGGAATTAAAGTAATAAATGCCCATGCGGGATTGTAAAGTGCTGATCAGTTGTGAAATTCACACCAAAAGCTTCTGGACGTACTGTACATGGTGTTAGTAAGTCCAGAAACAAACAAATTTTTTTTTGTGTAAAATAAGTTGTGGCAAGCTTGTGCTGCTGCAGTCATCTCCCGTTAATATGGACCCCATCAGTATGAATACCCCGCTATATGGACACCACTTCCAGGGAGAAATTGGGAAAATACATGCATTTTTGTCTCACTAATATCAACAGCTTACATTACGGACGATTTTTTGACGGGAACGGAGGTGTCCAGATTAACGAGACATCACTGTATGAGCATTTGAGGCACTCATCAACAAAAATAATGGTACTGTGAAGAGTTTCTTGTTTTTAGTGAAATTTGCTATGGTGAGGTTCTTCTACATGTGATCAAGCTCTTGCTGCAGTTGCAGAGGTTGTGAAGATCAAACAATGGAGGACTGGGTGTTGCATTGTGACAAAGAAGCAGCTCACATGGACCTGTTTGCTCTTCTGTTTATTGCCAAAAGAAGTGATGGGCAAACCTTCTGGTACTCTGAGGCCTTCTGTTCCTGTTCACAGACATGAGCTTTTACCTGAGCATCAGACAGTTTGGTACATCAAAACGATTTGGACAGTGTGAATTTATTTTCTAAACACCATTACAAGTACAGTCGAAGCTCGTTAATTCGACTCTGACGGTTCCTCGAAAATAGATTGAATTAGTGAAGAGTCGAATTATTGAATATCGATCAAAAACGAGTAACGACGTACGTCACGAGAAGCGGTGAAAAGCCAACCGTGACGACAAAGTTTTATTTCGAAAAAAAGCCGATATTTTTTTGCTGCCGCATTCCCGTCAGATGTTTCGCAAAAACAAATTTCCGCATATCCTCAATGTGCGGCCACATCGTCCCGTCGGTGTCTTCAAACATTGCGAAGTTCGCAAGTACATGGAGCGCAGCGGATGCTTCGGCAGGAGATGGGCGTGGCGGCGGCTCTTCAGCGTCACTCTCGCAGCTGTCGTCCTCCTGACCCTCGGGACGCTGAACCGATGCGATGATTTTGTCATCAGTCAATTGACCGCACACAAGCACTCCATCATCTATCGCAACGTAATCATTGAAACTAACGTTTTCTAGTAGAGCGGACATTAGAGCACTGCACTCTTCGTCAAAGTTTTTATCTTCAATTGTGGTTGCCGATGTTGTAGCCGATGCAGTTGCCGATGTAGTAGCCGATGCAGTTGCCGATGTAGACGTAGTAGCCGATGCAGTCGTCAAACTCGCGGTATTTCCATCACACGAGAAACCACAGTGACGAAAGCAGTTCGCGATGACCTGGCTTGGCATGTTCGTCCAAGCTTTAACAAGCATATGAATCGCCGCCAACAGAGTGACTTCATAGCGCTTACCCTGGTCCAGACAAAGCAATATTCTTGCCATGAGATGCTTGCGGTACAAGCCTTTCAGGTGTTTGATTATTCCTTGATCCATTGGTTGCAAGAGTGAGGTGGTTGCAGGTGGAAGGAAAATCGGCCGGATCATAGACAGCTCCGGCATTTTTGTGTGCGCACTGCAGTTGTCCGCTACTAACACGACCTTGCGCCCCTTGGACGTGAACTGGCGGTTCAATTTTTGAAGCCAATCTTGAAAGATCTCACGTGTCATCCACGCTTTTTTGTTGAAACAGTAGTCCGTTGGAAGCCGCGGGATGTTCCGAAAGCATCGTGGCGTCTTGGATTTCCCGATCACCAAAAAAGGCAGACGTTTCGTGCCTGTCATGTTGGCTGCCACGAGCACGGTTACCCGCTCTTTACTGCGTTTTCCCCCAGTGCAAGGATACCCTTTGAACATTATCGTTTTGTCGGGGAGAGCTTTGAAAAACAACGCCGTTTCGTCGCAATTGAATATGCCCTCGGGCGCATATTCCGCAAGAATACGTGCGTGCTCCGACGTCTCCCAGTTTTCACACAAATCTTCATCCACATCGGCTCTTTCACCACACACATGCTTAAAAATAAGAGAGTGCCTCTCCCTGAATCTTGCGAGCCATCCCTCGGAAGCATGGAATCCCTCGACGCCCAAACGTTCGCCTAACTGTTGAGCCTTTGCGCGAATCATGTCTCCAGTCATCGGAAGGTTGTGCGTTCTTACTTCTGTCACCCATTTGTAAACGGCTTCTTCGAGTTCTGGATGGGCTGCACTGCGAAGGCGTTTTCTTGAATTCACAAGTTGTTGCTCTTCGAAAGCTTTCACGATTGCTGCTTCATTCCTAATGTAGGTAGCAAGCGTGCTTTTCTTGAGGTCATACTTTTCGGCAATTTCTTTTCTGGACAATTTTCCCTCTTTAACTTCGTTGAGTACGTGAACTTTTGTTTTTAAATCATTCGAAGAGTACTTTCCTCGCTTTTCTTTCAACATTTTCCGGTATGAGCGTTAAACGCCGCGCACTCCAAAGAACAGAAACTAGAAACCGCGTGACAGCACGGTCCCTCTTCATCGCTCGCTCATTTTTCTCCAGTCTCCTTCTCCATCCTCCCGACGTTCTTTCTCACTTCATCGCTCACTCATTTCCCTCTCGTTGCTCCCGTCTCCTTCCGCGCGCCTCCCCACGTGATTGGGCCGGTGCGCTCTGACTGGGTCTTATCTCGACTAATCAAATCAACCCTTTCTCCGGCGCGAGGCGCCGGCGAAAGGGCGCCTGTTTGCGCGGACGCTCTTTCGCGGTGCGCGCCTTGGCTCGAGGTGCCGGGGGTGCCGACAGGCATCGCGCGTCTGTGGATGTGTCGCAATCAGGCGCGGGCTCGCTGCAACGGCTGTTTGCCAATATGGGTAGGGACGCGTGTCGTGTTCTGAGGCGCCGTTTTAACCTTTAAACTTATAGTGTTAGCTTAAAAAATATTTCCCGGTTACGAAGATGCTGGCTCCCGGGACGAATTATCGGGTTGGGGATGTTTATCAGATCGAAATACCGGGGTTTTCTGCCTATTGAAGCTTGTACATTTCTGTTGGTGCTAAATGGAAGGGTCGAATTAACGCGATGATCGAAATAACGGGAGTCAAAATAACGAGCTTCGACTAGGGGGCGATTTTACGCTGTAAAAGCGGTGAAATAGCTCTCGAGGGGTCTACCTTTTGAATGACAACGATTGGGGTGCAAGATAGGCCTGCATTATGTTATAGGTACTCTTCAAGAACTTTATATGGTGCAGCTTTATGTGTGTGTGCAGTCTGAAAGAACTTTTATACCTAGCATAGTTTTATGTTATTTCATTGTCATTCCAATTGCGCTGTAGACTGAAGGGGAGTACCAGCCACTAAAGAAGCTTTCCGATGCCACTGAAGCCATACATACTTTTACCTCACTTCCAGTCCTTTCGCTTGGAGTCTTCTAACTCTGGGTGTAAAATGCAGTCATATCACAACCATGCTTGTCACCAATAATGACTTATGGTTACCCCTATTTCTTACACAACGAAGTGGACAGGACCATAAGCTGCTGGCACATGAGCAAATATCAGGCGATACAAACAAGCAGCTGGCTTCCTGGTGGGGATAGACAACAGGGGTAAAGGGTGTTTCTACTTTTAACGCAGCACTCAAGTGACTCGAGATGCTACAGGATTCAGTTGCTGTGGAGTTTAGTCATAGTTGACATCGCCAACTTTCTTGAACTAAGTCATGGTTGTAAACTGTGTTCCAACTGGGCATCAGGTAAGGACAAACTTAAACTAACCTCTCTTTTATGATCTCTCTGGGAAGGGTTCAGCGCTGCTGTCTACAGCGGCATCCTGCAGTTTGTGCACAGGGCAGTCGTCGCACCCATCGCTGGCCCTCCTCCACAGCCGTACAATGCCGATGCAGCAGTGGCTGTTACACTCCTAGCTTTGGACCTGTAAGTATTGAACATTCAGTCAGTTTTCTGTGCTGTGTCAACCAGCATTCAGCTTCTCATTACCTGCTTCTAAGGGCCACATCAGAATTAATTAACAGGTTCAATATTGTTTTGCCCTTCACAAGTTTTGCTTGAGTGTCTGGTTGGCATTTCCAAGTCTCTCTTTGTCTTCAATACTTAATCTCTTAAATGCTCAGATGCAGAGCCAACCAAAAGGCTCGGTAATAACAAAGCATGTTTGCAAGGTCAATTCTATATAAATTCTACAGAACATGGTGACAACTTAATCTCTCGCTACTAATGCTGAATATCCTAATGTAGTGGACCATTCTAGGATTTTATGCAATGACAAATCAATCTTTACAGGCTATTTTTCAAACGTTTAGATTTTAAGGAATGCCGACCTCTAGGGATGTGTAAATAGTGGACCTTGACTTTAAAGCAAATAGTGGCTTGGCCGAATCATTTTGAATCGAATATTGAATAGTTTGTCCAAGCCTTTCACCACAGTTGCACCTTGCTTAAACAAAAACCCAGTTAAACTCGTGAAGGCGGTTCCCAAGCTTCCACTTGTCCACTCGTGAGGTAATTTTAATCTATGAACTGTGGCCACAGAAATCTAATGCCTGCATTGAGGTGGCAAGTAAACAATAGATTTGACATAAAATTAGTCTTATAGAGATGCCCAGCTATACCTAAATGAGGGAATTTATAGATCATCTTGCTATATGCAACTATTTTTTCGTCAGTCTTGAATTTGGAAAAAGAAAAAAAAAGTTAATCACAAATACTCAATGTAGGTTCCCATTTTTTTTTAAAGAAAACAACTGGCACGCAGATGCACAATCCTGTTTTGAAAGTGTGCTTTTTTCCTAAGCATGCGACTGAGATATTCATATTTTTCGAAGTTTTGATCGTTGCTGGTTAGCCCCGTTGAGCGCGCTTCTTACCGAGCACTGGAGCATTGTGGAGAAGCTACATTGGCGAAGCTCGCTTTTGTGAGCAGCTTTTCTGCAGTACACCGGTGCTCTGTAAGAAACACGCTCAATGGGGCCAAGGCACAAGGCACGTGCGCGTCAAAACTCTCCGATCCGACGTGCAAACTGTCGGGATGATGGCTGGAGGCGAGAGTTCTTGTCGCACCAAAGCGTCGAACAAGGGCTCCGGCCGCACCGCCCTTTGACTGTAGGAGGGCTGCAGCCAATAGCATCACGAATGGCGCTAACGTCATGCTGTCACGTGAGCATAGGCCCGACCGTGGGAAGCGGCTGTAAGCGGTGCACCACGCGAGTCGTCGTTGTGAAGGGAAGTCAACGGACGCCATAGAGTTTTCCCGAGCGCACAAAACGAGCTGTTGATTTCGCGCGTCCATAGCAAGCTGACCTTGTGGGACCGATCGAGACTGTCGAGACCCGAATATACTCCGTTTCACCTTACGATGGCCAGCAGCAGACGTTTCGAGCCATTCCAATGCTGTGTGAGTGTCACGTGAACTTCGGGAGAGACGCAGCAATGTGCGTGGTGAGTACTCGCTTCGCTGCGATGACTCCCGAGGTCTGCTGCGGTCCGTCGTGATGAAGTGACTTTGAGCAAAAAAGCACCCTCACGTAAAATCTTCAGACACGCACACTTTAATGGAATGTAATAAAAATATTGTGTTTGTTTTAGAGTCAGAAAAACTACAAAGGGCGAGGGAACTATTTTAGGTTTCTAGGCTAGGTGGCGCAAGCTACCGCCCGTTATAAATACAGCCTTTGGCTTCCATCCATCCATCCGGTAGAAGGTTACCCGAAACTGAGCGGAGCTAAACGGAACGACGCATTGGAAGCGTGTGTCTCGAACTGTCGTGTGCGGCGAGTCGGAGCAGCCATCTTTATGACAGTTGGCACATCAGATCGGATAGCTTTGTTGCGCATGTGTCTCGCGTTTAACTCGCTTTGCTCAACACTTCGAAAGGTACAAATATCAGACTTCATCTCGAAGCGAATATCGAATAGTGTATTATTCGAAACTGGTACTATTTGAAAATTAGAATATTTGCCTGGAATGAGAACCAAGGAACCACTTTCCACTTTTGTCATTGTTGGAGTAAAGCTGTGCCTGGTAATCTTTACTAAAAGAAGCATGCAGACTTTGTTGGCAGTGGTACTACATGCACTTGTGAGTGAGTGATAGGAGCACAGATTTTCTTTGAAATTTTTTAATTTGAATACAAACTAGCCATAATGCAGGCCTGGCAGTTCTTTTGAACTCAGGTACAAGTGTAATAGGGACAAGTGGGTCAACAGGTGGTGTTTTATGTGTAATGTACGTGAAATTGCAACAGTCAATTTTGGTTGTGCTCGTACTCTGCATTCTCAAAACTGTGTAAAATTTTATTTTCGAGGGCAGCTTTCACTGATCAACAACAAAAAAAGTGATAAAAAATGATGTAAATTTGGTTTATTTTATATAAATCTGATTTATTTGATTTAAGCCATATTTATTTTATTTATATCATGTTTGTTTCATTTAAATCAGGTTTATTTGATTTATATCACTGTAGCTCAGAAGTAATAATACTTGATCATAGGATGTATTTTTAAACATGGCAGATTACAATGGACTTCTTCCAAAACCGACGCGCCCCATCGCGGCGAAATACCACGCAGTGCACTCTGGGAACTAGTTGGCCACTCAGTTTCGGTTTCGACTGAGCAGCTTCATCTCATGCTATCACGCCGCGACCAAACGCGCTGCTTGCGTTTTCGATTATCTGACTTTGCACGAACGTACAATACACTCATTCTCGAGCGATACAAAACGAAGACCGGGGCACTTTCCTTAATTCCCGAAACACCGGATATTGTGCGTGCGTATGCGAACGTAGTAAGTCGTGGCTTAGTCACTTCACCCCACGAGTACATCTTTGAGCTCAATGTCAGTAATCCCGTCTAGTACCAGTGAACTACAACTGAAATTTGTTCGTCTGGAGCCTTACACGCATTTTGTTTGCCAAACGTACGCTTCTTGTTACTTCATTGGGCGAAAAGCAAGCCGCATCCTCACAGAGTATCAAAATTGAGGCCAGCGTTTACGCATAAACTTTTAAGGAAACGCAATAAATTCGACCTCACTACTGCACAAAAGTTACTATGATATCTTCCTCGCGTCATTATATATCTCCCACTCAAATTTTATGCTGATAGAAGATTAACTTTTCGCAAACGTTGTAATCGGCTAGCTACGACGGAGACCCTATAACAAGCGTCCCCTACTCCTGGCTAAGCCTTTTTGGACGAGCTTTTACTGATACCCGAGATCTGTGCCGGGAACGGTGTGTCTGAAATTATCTCGGCATACTCAGGCAGGAAGAAAGCGAACACATAACAAATATTATGGCCATTAGCAACCGTCAAATGCGCTTTGAATTCGTTCGAGCACTTGTGTGAAGAATGTCGCACCGTGCGCCGGACGGGCATGAACCCCAATGCGGTGCGCATAGGGGTTCATGCCCGTCTGACGCACTTCCGGCGAACGGTGCGACATTCTTCACACAAGTGCTCGACTTTTGCATTCTTAAAGCGGTCTGTATGCGCGAATGTTCCCATATGATTGCAGGATAACTTTATGCGCATACGCGATGTTGAATATTAGTGGAATGCAAGCGGGTGGGGACTTCACTTCGTGCAGTGGTGCGGGTCAGTACAGATAAGAGATAAGAAGTGTGTTAAAATTGAGCTTTTCAATGGTACCTCCGAGTTTTCCCTCGCATACTTAGGCACATTAAGAAAAACAGTAATTGCAAAAAGTAATATTTCGTCTATGGACGCACGAAGCAAACAAACTTCCTGATCAACAACACTAATGTAAAGGCGCGAGCTCGATGTATGCATACTTATTGGTTGCTACAGCTTGTTCATTCGTACACAAGCAAGATCCCCGAGCACCCGAGCCTCGCAACGTCGAGACTCCCAGCACTGGCTCGTCCACATACCTCGATTGGAACGCTAACAGGAAGGCTCAAGTACAAAAATACAACAAGCATGTGTTAAGACAAGCTATACGTCTCGGGCTTGTGCTAAAGCTTCGAGGTCTGGCCATTTAGGTTAGTTTAGAGACCACAAATGACGCTCTCGGGACCAGAAAACAATCTCTTGTCGACGCGTCGATCGAAACCGAAACCATGCCACCCTCCTCCCTGGCCAACTAGTTCCCAGAGTGCAACGCGCGCCGTGTTGCATGCAGGGCTTTATGGAAGTAGTCTATTGGTATCCGTCCAATAACTCATAATTTTGTGGAAGAAAGTAGTTTAATTAAAGACATTTTAATGATATAAACCCATCATATTAGAACAAAAACGGATTTTTTTTTTGTTAGTTAGTTAAACAGCTCTACTTGCTTTCTTTTTCACATTCTGATTTACTTCCCACAGGACATTACTTTTTTTTAGTTTTTATTTCTTTCACAGGTGGAATGGGAGAAAAGTGTAATGCTCCGATTGTTCAGAATAGCACTGGTAAACAAATGCACATAAAAAGGAAGCAACAAATGATTGATAAATGGTAAATAAAAAATATTGTCGGGATTATTTTTTTCAGGAAAGGTTTCATTTTAAATCATATAGGTAAACTGGTTTGACTTATACAGTAGAACCCGGATATATTGAATTCAAAAGGGATCGTAAAATAGTTCGGGGTGATTTCAGATAAGATCGACCAAAGGATGGCTGGTCGACATTTTCAAATCAACTGATGTTTTTATATGTTATTGTCTAGTGTCTGGTATGAACGAATCCAAACTTAGTTTTGACTAGAAAAAATACTTGGGGACAGGAAAAATCGTAAGGCATGAGGTGGTGGACAGTTGCATTAACGCGCACTGATGGAGGGGGCCCGTTTGAGAGTGAATAACTAAAGCGATAACATTAGGAGAACTCTAATACGTTTTAGGCGCAAACTATGGGTATAGCTTGCTTGTAATATAAAGTAATCATATTTATTTAAAATTTATTTATTTTT